CTTGAACTTCTCCTTGAGCTGAGTCTTGTGCTCACTTTTGGTGATCCTGAAATAGTAGTCAGGGTAGGTGCTCTGATCCACAGAGTTTGGGGGAGTCGCAGTTCCGATGGCCATGATGGTAGCCGGACCCTCAGCCCTCTGCGCCTTGCGAATAGCCTCGACGTTCACCATTTTTTCTCTTTAGAAGTGGAGTATTTAGGGTGCTGTGGAAGAGAGAGAAAGAGGTGGAAGAGGAGAGAGAACGTGCTCAAAGCTCTGTGGTGAAGAGTGAAAAGGGAGGAGGAGATTGTGGGTGCATATATAGGGGGTGCCTGGTAGTTGGGCAGAGGAACGTGCCAAGCTAACATACATTCAAACAACTTGTGCTCTCACACGTGACAACGGGGTTAGTTGTAGCTGCTCATGTTAGTGAGAGGGGACACGTCTTTGAGATATTTTGTGTGGCTAAAAACCACTTTCAATGAACTCGACGGCTGTGATTTGGTCTCCTGATGGGTGCTTTATCGAGACCGTTGATTCACCCTTGAGTTGGTTGAAACCTAAAACTCTCTCCATGTGCACCGCACTTCTTCGCTTTGTTTTGAACTTGGTTTTTCGTGCGGGCCCTTCCGTTTTCTATTATACCATTGTACTTCTACGGGACCATACTACTCATTTACTCCCTCGATTAAAAAGCCTAATCAAGGGAAAGGGGCTCGGTGGTGGTGATTGCACCCCCACATCCTAGTCACCGCCTTAAAAATTCCATTCCCACTTGCACCACCTCATTAACAACTTGAACCTTTTAAATTATTTGAAAAAAATAAGTAGGGACCTATCTTTCCCATTGAATTACCCAGAAAAGAAACTAATCAAAATTTTTTTTTTTTGTTTTATATTTGCCAAAAACATTCTACTCACACAAAAGTAGAATGTCCATTTACTCTCTCGAGTTAAACCCTACTTAGAATTAATTTTAAGTCCCTGGTGTAACCTTTTCCGCCCATAGATTATCCTCAATAAATTTTTTTTCTAATTGTACTTACTATGGACTTAAAAAAATAATGTTGCAAGATTCAAAAGAGACCATCCAATTTTTAGATGGTGTGATCTAAGTGTTAGAAAACTCAAATTTCAGGTTTCGCTTGAGAATAATCATCCGGTAATTATTAAGGAATTCCCAAAATTTCAGATTGAAAAAATCCTTCCGAGTAGATATTCTAACCAAGGGAGTAGAAATATACTAGCTCCCAAGGGAGTATAGCATAGACGCCGCTCAAATTTTTGGATCCAGTTTGGAATCATCGATTAAAATTTTACAAAACATAATTTAAATTCTTAAAACAGTCCATCAGAAAAATTGAACGGGCTTTTTTATTGTTAGCACAATATTTTTTGAGGCATTCATGGTGAATATAGAAGGGGTGCGGTTTATATAAGGCACTATCTTAAACAATCGAAGTAAGGTACACCTCTAAATCCTGTCGAGAGATGTGATTTTGGTGTCGTAAACTCTTGCAGTGGCTGAAAATTAGTTTTCATCTCTAACTATGAACTTTAAAGCTCAAAAAATTGAACAATACAACTATAAACATTTGAAAATCCTGAAAATAAAAGGTTCAAATAACGTGTTATAAAATGTATTATTTTTAATATTTGAAATCCTTTACTTTTAGGTATACATATCTTGAAGTTGAGATGATCAATCTGAGGATTTTCAAACACCAGAAGAACTTATACTTATAGATTTTCGAGGTGTGCCTCATGAGATTGACACCTTACATATTACATAAGGATTGACACCTCATGAGATTGACACCTTATATAAGGTTTGACGTGCGCTTCATGACATTGACACCTTATATAAGGTGTGCGTATGATACAACTATTGCATGAATCACGGCTCTCTTCTATATAGAAACTTCTTACTTGTTTAGGAAGTAATCTGGGTCGCTGGATTGAAAAGGTTACGGTAAAAAATTAGAAGTAATGAGAGTAAAATAAGGTTTTACCAATGAAGCGTGTCCCCATGAGTGAAGTTATTATTCCTTATACAGCTAGGAGCACACTATTTAAACCAATGTTTAAAAAAGCAGATAAGTGACACGAATTGATCACAGCATACCCGTGTTGAATCGATGGATCGAATCAGAGAATCCACAGTTTTTCTCTCAATTATTTTTCAAAAAAGCACTATAAATCTCTAAAAATAGTGCTATTTTAGTTTACAAAATAAATTAGGACTGGTGCATTAATGTAAAAATAGGTGAATACTGAGATGTTGTTTTCTTGTCTGGATATCTGTATAATTATTTAATCGTAATATAGTATTATAATATTATATTAAAATAATTTAAAAATATTAAAAAACACTTCCATATTATAAGATTAAAAATAATAAGTTTATATAAAGTGAAATTAATACCACATCAAAGCATCAAACATTTATTAATTCGCTTCACAACTTAATTAACTATAATCTTATATACTGAAATTAAAATTTTTGGTTTATATTTTTAAGAAAAATCTAAAATATCTGATAATATCATAGAATTTTTTTAAAAATTATTTACAACTATAAGAAAAAATAATATATTATATAATTTATAATGAAAATAAATTAATAAATAAAATCTAATATTTGGTTATCAATGTATAATCATTAATTATGATATTATAATAAAATTTTTTTGTTATCACTAAAGATTTCATAATTAGTATTTGTTGTACATTGAAATTGAAATTTTTAGTTTATATTTTATATTTATTTTACTATAAAAATTAGAAAAATTTAAATTTTGTTTTATAATATCATCTAATTAAAAAATATTATTTACAACTCTAGCAAAAAATAATATATTGAATAATATATAATACAAATAAATTAATAAATAGGATACAAGAGAGAGATTGTTAATGGAGTGAAGTTTAGAAAGAGAGTGAGAGAGGGAGAGAGACCCAAAGTTTTATTTGGTATAAACCAAGAAAGAGGGAGAGAGGGAGAGAGCAAGACCTGGGCAAAGTTTGCAAAGGTGAATGGATTAGTCCCATATCGAAAGGGTTTAGCCTCTATAAATCTTTTTAACCTAGTGGGCCATGTGGCCAATTGAGTAAGAAATACTTTTTAACGGATTATTACCTTGGGTTTAAAAAAATATATAGTTTCACAGACTCGGTGATTCGGTGATGTCATACACCCGATTAGATCATGTTTTGGTAGATCCGAGACTGTCTAGGCAATTTTCAATTTGGATTGCTTGATTCCATTGGTAGATCTAAGATGTGGTCTGGGTGATTTTCAATCCGGATCGTTTGATTCCATATCGGAATTTTTTAAACACTGCTATAAATTTAGTCCCATGTATTACGTTCCGATCCTGTTTTACTAGTAGATCCGAGACACATTGGGCGATTCTCAATCCCGATCACTTGATTCCAAATCGGGATTTTTTAAACACTGCTATAAATTTAGTCCCCAAACGCCTACTTAGCAATTTTACATTGACATACAAGATTTTCCCCCTACTGTAATATTTTTTTCCCTTCATTTTTTGGACACGATTTCTATGAGTTCACCGACTGAAAATTAGCTTTCGTCTCTAATTATACACTTCAAAGCTCAAAAAATTGTGTATACAACTATAAACACTTGAAAATCCTATCAATAGATGCTTCAAATAACGTGTTACAAGGTTTACCATTTGTAAAACTTGAAATCTTTTACTCTTAGGTTCACATATATTGAGGTTGTGATGATCAATTTGAAGGTTTTGAAACACCGCAAGAACCTATTCATATGGATTTTTAAGCTACGCCTCACTTGGGGGTGGCAATGGACCCTGATCTGACCCATACCCCCCGGATATATCCGACACGGGTCCAAGTTTTGGACGCACGCGTAGGGTCTGGGTCCAATAAAGGATAAGCAGATAGTCCAAGGTCCGAGTACCCAAACCTGAATTTTAAGTTTACCCAAAGGCCAAAGCCCCAACCCTAAAATCGTTTCAATACTTTTCGTCTTCCCTTAGTTCCCCAAACGGCCAAACCACATCACCATCCTCCCTCTCTGCAATTTTCCCTCTCTTAGTTTCTTGGAGATATAGCTCTCTCTCTGGATCTCGAATGTCTCTCTCTCTCTCTCTCTCTCTCTCTCTCTCTCTAATCGCCTATCCCTCAAAAATTAGTACTATGTTGTTCACCAGTGTAGGCTACAAAAAAGGAAGCTCATAGTGAGGGTGGCAATAGACCTGACCTGTTACGACTCCGCCCCCTGACCCCTGCCGTCTCAAACCGAAGGGCGACAAAGAGCGAGATCGCGATCGGAGGTCGTGTACGTCATTCAGGTGGGATTGGCATCAATACGTGTTATAAATGCAAGAATCAGAGTAAACCACGATAAATAAACAAAACTCAGTCAACTAGCACAAAAGACTGAATAATTAAAAGCCATTAACTACACATTCCATCTCCAAAATTCTTTACAATATTGTTCCAGGCCTACAAGCCTGATATTTCAATACATCAAACAGAATACATGTGGCTATGCCACCAAACACCCATTAGGCCAAAAAGAAATCCTAAATAGGTCTGAAACTTCAAAATCCTGCTACCACCCCCTACTGCACGACTCCCCCAGTCAAGTGCTATCATTCTACATAGATGAAAATAAACGTAGTGAGATATAAGCCCAATACGTAGATCACTACCCTTGCATTCATGCCTACACGCATATAAATAATAACATGGCCTATAATTCATCAGAAAGCGCACTGGTCTCACAGAGTACGGCCACACATCAGAGTACATTTAATTGTTGTATAATGAGTATAATATTCAGTTAACAGGGCATCACTTGTTTTCAAGATGGCATTCACATTTATGCATATCACAGTTATAGTGAGATGTTCATACAGAATGCTAAATTCAGACAAGTAGAACAGATTTAGTTACTCTCGAAATAGAAGCCACATCGAACAGGCTAAGCCAATCCTGTTTCTTGCGACTGTTACCCTCATTCAGGAGAGAGGATAATGACAAGTGGAGGCCCCACTTCGTAATATCCTCACTCACGCACACATCCTAGGGGCGCTTTAGGGTTTTTGATAGACTGCGGCCTTGCAAGACACGACCCTCTCCTTACACCCACAGGCGAGAGGGCGTTACACTACCATTGGATGACCCAATGCATAGTGCCCATGACAATTTAGGGGGGGCGACCCTCCCTGTTATTTACAGTCGCCTCTCGACTCCACTCATATCATAGGAGTCGAGGTACAATATACCCAACTACCAATGGAGGACCCGTTGTACAATGGTCATATCACATATATCAGTCTTAACAGAGTCAAACATCCAACTACCAATGGAGGACCCATTGCGTAGCGGTCATGGCGCATATAACAGAATCGCATATAGCGGAATCACAGTATCCACTACCAATGGAGGACCCATTGCGTAGCGATCATGACACATATAACATAATCACATAATGACAATGTCAATGTTACAGAGTGACATTATCAACATCACGTAATGACAGTATCAGTATCACATAATGACAATATCAATATCACATAATAACAGTATCAGTATCAAATAATGGCAGTATTAATATCACATAATGACAGTATTAGTATCAAATAATGACAGTATTAGTATCACATAGTGACAGTATCAGTATCACATAATGACAGTATCAGTTTCACATAATGACAATATCAATATCACATAATGGCAGTATCAGTATTACATAATGACAGTATCAGTATCACATAATGGCAGCTCCTGCAATTCCAGGCAGTGATGTTCGCTCACAACTAGGGTCATAACTTTCGACTTGTTTAGAATTTGAAGACGGTTCCAAAACCAATTTTGTACTAGACACACCTATCTTTCAAATAAGAGTGGCTTGAAAATAATTGGACCTCTTTTGGCCCCTCAAAAGTTCAAGAGAATGGAGGCATTCCATCTGAAATCTGCTATATAATAAAGGCAGTGACATGTCTTCAAAATTAATTCCATATCTCCCAAACAAGAGGGAATTTCGAAATGTGCTTAACATGTGATTTCAATCTTACTCATAAATATTTCAAATGGCAGTGGTTTGGAAGAAAACGAACTTCGCTTGGTTAGTTAAAAACCCATGATAACAGAGACATCAGTTCTCCATTTTTACTGAAACTGTCCACAGTGAACTACTGGTATATTTTGAAGCATAACTCTACATGCATAAAGAATTTGAGCAAGATTTGAACATAAGGATTTTAATAGGCACATATATCTTTCCATTGGTAGTGATTTGAGGTCAATTGAGCCTCATTGGATAGATCAAAAGTGGATTGCAAGAACATGAAACCTTCTTGAAAATTTACAGCACAACACATTACTACTTAATATGATACCCAAATGGCCTCTAATTTTGCTAATTCTTAACTTAAACCTTCCACTTTCCAATAGATACACAAGGACACAAAATTTCAGACTTTTTGTGAACGAACAAGGAGGATTGATGCTCATTGTGGTCATGCAAATGCAAATCACGTGGCTGGAAAATCTACAGCATAAAAGTGGGCATATCATCACTCACACTTCTATTAACATGCTTAATTCATGGCGAACTCACACTTAGAGACCTACAAGGTAGTAATCCACTTACCATAAATGTGTTGTGCCTCCACATCCTTCTTCCACAACCTTCTTCAACTCCAACAATGGTTGTCCTAACAGTGAGCTAAAGGGCTTCTCCAAGTTCTCCAAATTTGTCTTAGAGAGAGAGATGAGGAGGGAGTGAAATGGCCTGAGACTGAGAGAAGAGGGCTTAAGTACTTAGTGGCTGGGGTAGCAGTCCAAGTGGTGACAGATGACGTGCAACTAGACAGGTAGCATGCAAGACAACATGCACTCAACAAGTGGCATTCACTGTTCATACACGTCAGTGATACACACGGCGTAGCACAGTCTGTGCTGGCTCTTTCTCTCTCTTCACAGCCGGTGCTGCCTCTCTCTCTCGTCACTACCGGCGGTGCCTTTTTCTCTCGTCTCAGTCGGTGCTGGCTCTCTCTCTCGCTTCACAGCTGGCATTGGCTCTTTCTCTCTCTTCACAGTCGGCGCTTGCTCTTTCATTCACCCCCTCTTACTTCACACACTGCGTTACCCCTTCTTATCAGACTCCTACTGTCGTGCGTGTCTCTATGGCCTGGAAAACCTTGGTCCTTACACGACCAAACCTGAGACCCAACGGGATAGACATAGGACCTAATGGGTACAGGTATGGGTCCAACCTTTGGACCTGACGGGTCGGGTTTGGGTCAAGTCCAAAACCTGGACTCGAATACATTTGGGTCTGGGTCTAGGTCTAGTCGAACCTTACCCATTGCCACCCCTAGCCTCACTGCTATAATATGAGATTGACACCTTATATAAGGTTTTTTTTATATAAAAACGGGCAGTGATTTCATGCAACGGTTGTATCATAGTATAATGCAACGACACTTCTAGAAAACCATGTTTGTGGTATTTGTATGATCGAAAATTTTACACACACTCTCTCTTCATCTCAATAATCAATCCCAAAAAAAAAAATCATTCAATTTGAACCCTAAATGAGTCCCCTCCAAAAACGAATCTAGACCATGCATTTGGTGAATTTCAAGATCTTAGCTTTTAGAAGCTCAAAATCATTTTTTTCTTTTTTAACATTATTTATCTAATGATAAGAAAGCCATCCAAAAAAATTCGAAATGAAAAAATCGTTCTAAGGCCTAGATCTAAGCATATCACCAAAATGAACAATCTATGTTAATTGGGCTAAAAAAAATACTTTTTAAGTTGTGTTTTCAAATTTTTTACATTTTTGTGAATGTTCAGTAGAATGAAAAGAGTGTATATTTCAAATTTTGAATCAAGCAAATGGCCGTAACATAGGTTTTGAAGGTTGGTCCATCATATTACTATACAACAGTTGCATGAAATGATTGCTCTATAAAAACTTCTTACTTCTATAGGAAGTAATGTGGTCCTAGGGTTGAAAAAGTTACATAAAAAAAAAAAAAAGGAGAGTAGAATAAGGTTTTACCAATGAAAAGCGACCACATGAGCGAAGTTATTATTCCTTATACAATAGCAAGTGCATTATAAACCAATGTTTAAAAAGGTGGATCGGTGACACGAATCTGTTAGACCCACACCTGTTTCAAATCAGTGGATTGGATTGGAGAATCGGGCTAATCGGTAATTTCTGCCCCAATTTTTTTAAAAAAAGTCACTATAGATCTCTAAAAATAGTGTATTTTTAATTTCTATAATAAATTAGGAGTGGTGTATTATGTATTTTCATTACTTTGTAAAAATAGGTGAATACTGAGGCGTTGTTTTCTTATCTGGATATCTATAAAATTATTAATTATAATATAGTATTATAATATTGATTTAAAAATATTAAAAAACACTTCTATATTATAAGATAAGAAAAATAAATTTTCATATAAAGTGAAATTAGTACCACATCAAAGCATCAAACATTTAATAATTCGTTTTACTAATCCAAAATTATCACAACCTAACTAACTATAATATTATATACTGAAATTAAAATTTTTGGTTTGTATTTTAAGAACAAATCTAAAATGTCTTATAATATGATCTAATTTTAAAAAATATATTTACAATTATAAGAAAAAATAGTACACTACATACTTTATAATGAAAATAAATTGATAAATAAATTATAAGATTTGGTTATCAATGTATAATTATTAGAAAAAATTACATAAATATCCGTTTTAGTGTCAGTTATTACCAAAATACTGAATATTTTCTATTATTACTTATATCTCGGTTTTTTGGACTTTATAACAACTTTTTAAAAAAAAAGACGAAACTACTAATTTTCGGTTTTTTAAAAACCGAAATCAAACCAATTTCGGTTTTTGAAAAACCAAAAATTTTAAAACTTTAATTTTTCAAGAACCAAAAACTTTAAAATTTCGGTTTTTCAAAAACCGAATTTTTCTTGAACTTTTCTATAATCCACTGTTTCTTTCCCCTTCTATCCATGTTGATAACTTCTATCCACACACGAATTGCTTATAAAACCTCCCCATTTTCATTCTCTTCACATTTGTAGTTTGTTGAACCATCAAATCAAAGAAAGCATGGCATTCTTTATCGTTACACTCGTACTTTCTCTCTCTTATGCGATGGCCTGTGATGGATGCGTCCATCGATTAAAGGTTGCCTACTAATCCTCCCCTTCTGCAATTCCAGGAACAATTTCACGATTCCATTGTTTTTCTTCCTTTAATCGTCATTTTTTGTAAATTTTTTAATGGTTTTTCTTGTGTTGTTGATTGGAGATTGTGATTTTCAGCTGGGCCATGTCGTTATGGCTCCATGGCATTGCTTTCAATTGTGGGGTACGTTGCTGCTGCTTTGTGCCGGAAGGAATTGATTGTTTTCAGGTGCTTGCTCTACTATTTTCTCTCTCTAAGACTTCCTTGTTCTTTTTCCTATCTCTCTAGATTTTTGAATTGGGTTTGGGAGTGAGCAGATTGGTCTGTATGTAGCAAAGGGGATCACATGTTATCGCGACAGATTTGGTTTTTCAAAAACTAGAAAATAAAGAAATTTGGTTTTTGAAAAAACGGAAATTTAAAAAAAAAATTGTTTTTCAATAACCGAAATTGACCTGTTTGGTCTTTTAAAAAAAAATTTGTTATAAAGTCTAGACATACGAGTAATAAGGGAAAGTATTCCGTATTTTGATAAGGGTGAAGTTTCTACAAGGTTACAACCTTAAACAATCCAATTAAGGCGCATCTAAAATTTTATCATAACATTTAATTTTGTTGTAAAAAATTCTTAGTATTATCTTAAAATCTATTTTCATACCTAAATAGAAATTTTTAAATTTTAAAAATCTTGAAAATGGACAGTCTAGATAATGTGTTGCAAGATGCACAATTTCTGAGACTCAAACTTTTTTTTTTCATATTCATATATCTCGATGTCGAGATGATCGATTAGAGTGTTTTTTCAACAATAAAACAATATTTTCGATAGATTTTTTAGGTGCATATGTGATTCTACATTTTAAGGTTGCAACTTTATATAAACTTTTCCCTTTTGATAATAACGGATACTAGAATGGATTTTTTTTCATAATTTTCCCTAATTATTAATTATAATATTATAGTAAACATTTTTTGTTATCACTAAAAATTTCTATAATTAGCATTTTTTACGTTTCTATAGTTTTTGTTATATATTGAAATTGAAAATTTTAATTTATATTTTAAAATTATTTAATTACACAAATTAGAATAAATTTAAGTTTTTTTATAATATCATCTAATTAAAAAAAATTATTTACAACTCTAATAAAAAATAATATATTACATAATGTATAATACAAATAAATTAATAAATACGATACAAGAGAGGGAATGTTAATGGAGTGGAGTTTAGAGAGAGAGAGAAACCCAAAGTTTTTTTTGGACCAATTAAAGTTTTTTTTTTTGGCCTACTTAGCAAAATTTTAAATCGACATACAAGTTAAGATGAAAAAGGATGCTTACTATGAATCTCCCTTTACTGTAATATTTTTCTCCCTTTATTTTTTGGACAGGGTTTATGAGTTCACAGACTCAAATCTAGAAATGCGTGCCCCTTAATAATTTATTTTTAAAATAGAATTTGATCTTAAGTTTTTAAAAAATATATAATCTTTAACATGGAGATTATTAATATATAAAAACAAATAAATTTTAAAACTAAAAATAATAGTTTTTTGTTAAAATATTTGAACTGTTGATTTTACTTTTTTTTTGAATAATTATTATTTAAGAGACCCGGTGTTGGTAGACGGTGTAGATTTCCAAAACTCTTATAATAAGATATGCAGATTTGGACGCACCAAACAACTTTTTTTTATTATTTTTTTAAATTTTTACACATCGCAGGGCATTAAGACATCATATGATAGCGAGTATCTCCCATCATGAATGCACATCGAGGGGTGGAGTTGGCATACGGATGCATCCGTAGCAATAAAGGTAAGGTTCACCTTCAAATTTTATCATGGTATATAATTTTGATGTAAAATGTTCTTAAGATTATCTCAAAATCTATTTTTATATCTAATTATAAAATTTTAAGTTTTAAAAATAGTTAAAATCATGTAAATCTATAAACATATGAAAATCTTGAATATGGATGGTGTAGATAATATGTTGTAAAAAGCACTATTTTTTAGACTTAAAAATCTTTTTATTTTTCATGATTATATATCTCGGAGATGATCAATCAAAAGGCTTTTCATCATTAAAACTACATTGTCCCATAGATATTTGAGGTGCATCCGTAGTTCTACATTATAAGGTTGCATCCTTATATAAATTTTTTCCCACATCGAGGGCCAAAATGTGGGCACTTTTTAGAAATGGACAGAGTACCAAAAACTACACGAAAATGCTGCAACCCTCTCTCTCTCTCCACCACTCTTCCTACCAACAACGCGCTTTTTGTCTCTGTTTAGTACTATACCCACGTTGTTTTTTTGAACGGTTAGTATATTCCCACGTATATGGCATGGCGCCAGTGTCATTTGGGATGGTTACCGTCATGTACGATAGGAAACAGTACGTGTCAAAGAGCGGGGTTACTGACTTTTGCATTGGGGTTTCTTTGGATCCACGGAAAAAGATTATGGAAAAAATTATTTGTATTTTTTATAAAATAGATTTTTGTTGTTTAGATGGTATATGGATGCATAATATTTTCATGCATTGTTTTTTTGTTTTATTATTATTTACTTTTTGCCGTTAAATGCTTTTGATTGTATTCTTCATCATAATGTCTTTTTTTTTTTATTAAATTTGATATATTTCTCTTTAAAAATTTTCAAGTAGTTTCTTTTTATAAAGTTCTAAAAATTTCATGTACTTTCTCTCTCAAAAATTTGATAGTGTTTCACTATCTAAAATTTGATAGAGTTTCACTCTCTAAAACTTTAATATATTGCTCTCTAAAACTTAAAATATGACGTAGTTTCTCTCTCTAAATTTTTTGAGATAGTTTCTATCTCTAAAAAAATTTAGGTAGTTTTATAGAAATAAGCTATAGACTTACAGATTTAAAAAACTAAAAAATATATATAAATCTATATCAGATGGTAATTCATGATTATCGAAAAACAAGAATGCAAATTAACAGATTTGAACGTACCTGCTATAAAGAAACGGATTTGATCTCTAAAAGGGTGAACCGGTCTTCACATCTTTTCTCCTCCAAACTTGATGGGAACTTTCTTATTGAGAATAAGCAAGAGATGAGACCATCACATTATTTTTCTTTTGTTATTCTTAACCCATCATAAAGAGTTTATCTTTAAGAGAGAGTGGAGGGAGGTGGGTATCAATGATCCTTATATTTATATGTGATAATCATGACATTTAAATTGTGGACATGTTACCCTTCTATAATTATTCTTAGGCCATAAATTAGGAATATTTCTTAGCATTCTTCCACTTGGTTAATAATAATTATAACTGATAATACATCATCGATTCAAGCAAATGAAAAATACACTATCAAAATCAGTACTTTGACAAGTAAAATTACTAATACCAAATCATAAAGGCTAATTATACTTATAAATAACACAATGTCATAGTTATAGTATTAGCACCATCACTCTCTATAGTCTCCAACATGTAACCTTTATGGTGGATGTCTTTGTAGTGGATAACAACCTTATGATATGGTAAAATCCACATCCCACCTAAAAGCGGTCCAAAACTTTATATCATATTAGCTTTATATATATACATGCCAAAATAGGAACTTTGATGCATCACATATACATAAATCAAACTAAGTGAGTGTCATATGCTATATGCTAGCATTATAACTCCCACAAACCAAGTGTGTTCCGTATGTCTCTTAAACACATACAAGCAATAAGCTCTGCAAACAATTTGGGACTTAAACCCTTGGTCAACGGATCAACGGATCAACGATCATCAATTTTATAATGATATGTTCTATGGAAACTACAAGTTTCTTTACATTCTCCCTTACAACAGGATATTTTAATTCCTATACGTTTGGAATCAACAATTGTTTTATGCGGACTGGACCGCATGACTAAATATGCGGTTTAAAAAGCATAAAGCATTCATCTTAAAGATAAATACAAGTAGGCGTTCATTCTAAAAACAATGAAAACTAACGATCCAAATTTTTTCTTACTAGAATTATTATTTTTAAATTTTAAAATGTACTTTTTTTTTCGTATTCATGATCTCCATGTTAGAGATTCCATGTTTTCAAAACTAAATCCAAAAATCCATCTCAAAATAGATTTATTAATAGGCCTGCATTTTTACATATGCGAGCTTGGTTGCATAGAAATCGGGTCCTCTTGGAATTGTCTGAGCTCTTGTTGATTTTAGATAAGAAAACAATAACAGAATCATCATAGAAAATTATTAGCAGCTTGAAAATAGAATCCACAACCCAAAACCTCGAAATAAAATTCCACAACCATAGGGCTTGCTTGGTAGCCTTATAGCAATATGTAAATTGCAACCATAGGGCGTGCTTAGTAGCCTTATAACAAGCTGTAAATTCTGCTTCCATAGTCAACTAAGTGATGACCACCTGCTTCTTACTTTGCCATGAAACAGTTACACCAGCCATCATAGAGATATAACCTGATATCGACTTCCTATTATCAAGATAGACAGTAAAATCTGTAACTGAATATCCAATTACATCAAGATGATCCGATTTACTTTATGTGAGCATAATGTTCTTTGTCTCTTGCAGATATCTCATTATTTTCTAAGCCACTTTCCAATGTTTTAGCCCTAGATTACTTTGATAACTACCCAATATACTAACAACAAAAGCAATATTTGGATGGGTGCAAACCTAAGCATAGATTAAACTTCCCAAAACTGACGCATGAAGAATATTATTCATATTGTTCATTTCCAAGTTATTTTTGGGACATTTTAATTTGTTGAATTTATCACCCTTAATAGTAGGAGCTATAACTGGAGAACAATTATGTATATTATATTATTTTTTGGACATTTTAATTTGTTGAATTTATCACCCTTAATAGTAGGAGCTATAACTGGAAAACAATTATGCATATTATACTTCTTGAGCACCCTCTCAATGACCATCCAAAAATACCTTGTGATCTGTCTCGATTAATTTTGATGCCAATTACACATTAAGCTTCATCCAACTCCTTCATATCAAAAATCTTAGACAAAAATAATTTTGTGTCATGCAACATATGAATGTCATTGCTGGGCAGTAGAATGTCATCTACATATAGAACCAAAATAGTAAATTTGTTCCCCACTAAATTTGAGGTAAATGGATTCATCCACAAGATTCTCTACAAACCCAAAAGTAACAATTAATAAATCATAAATCTAGTTTCTTTTAAAAAAGGTTATAAAATCTGGCTTCTGTAAGGCATCCCAATACATACAACTGTTTTAACCTAGGCTTCCTACTACTCTATAACTTTAAATAGGGACTTTAGCACAACTTTACCAAGAACATGATTTAATATGTAAACAATAGTCTTTTGAACACCCCTTAGAGAACACAAGGAAATTTGAGTTATAAACTATACTCCTTACTTGACTTGTGTCTGAAGCCTTTCTCTTGGGATGTGTCATAGCATTCTATGTTGCAATAAAGAAGAATTCATTTATATTTTCATGTTTCACATTACACTCAAGCAGGGATAAAAGATACCGTCCCATAATTTTCTAGAACCCATAATATAGTTATTATGAAATAAGAAGAAATTTCCATTGCTAAAATTAAAATTAAAATTATAAATATCTGCTTTTCATACTAATGTGAGATTAAAGAATATTTTTTATATTTAATACAAAACTACTGTCTAGAATTAATCTAACTACTTCTATCACCTTTATTTCTTCTTCAACTCCATTTACCATCATAAACCTCCGCTCTCGATCAATGAGTCTCTGACTGCAGACGTATATCTTTATTTTCTATCCACTTCTTATATTTGAGGTAATCTCTCTTCAAATGTGCTTTCTTCCTACGAAAAAAACACTTTTTTTTCTTGCTAATCATTTTGTTTATGAATCTAAGTAGTAGTCCATTTTTATTGATAATTTGTATGCATCCTAGAACTTTTATTTTTTGACGCTTTAAATGGTCATTTTCTGCCTGATCTAGTCTCTGTTAAATGTGCAACTTCAAGTTTATTTTAATTTAATCTTTCTTCTTCTTGAACACACGTAATTTGAATCTCATTCAAACTTCACTTTTCTTTCTGTGTATTATAAGCAAGCTTGAACTGATCATATTGCACAGACAAAGAGTTGAAAATGAACCCTATAAGATTTTCATGTCCATAGACTTCAATTGAATTGTGATATCAATTATTTTCATAATATGACCCCTAACAAAGCTATGGTCACCCTCATGGTCAGCAACTTTGTCATAATGGTGTTTGTTAGGACTTTAGTAGGACCTACAAATTCTTCTTGTACTTTGCTCATGAAATTCTTAACATCAGTTCCGTCAAAAATAACACCTTGTTGAATCTTACTAATAGACCCCTTCATAATCATGATGCTCATCCTATTATACCTTTTACATTTTCCATATTTAGTTTTTTGTTTGGTTGTGCTCTCTTTGTTGGGTTTGGGAGATTCATCTTCACGTAAGGCTAAATCAATATCCAAAATGCCTAGAGTGATCTCAATCTTTTACTTCCAATCAGAGAAGTTAGATCCATTCAGAGTTTCAATTCCAGCTAAGTATCCAACAAGTTCATAGGGATTTAGGGCTACCATGATTTTCAAATATTAATACTCACAAAACCGTATTTACCTATAAAAGTGCGCAATTAACATTCCGTAAAATATTAAAATCAAGTGCCTTTAGTGAACTGGTGCATCATCACAACTCCTCCTTTAAGCCGAGATTATAATATGCAAATATCCTCCTATTAGTGAACAACAAGTCCTTATATCCACCATTGG